TAGTTCAATAGATATTTAACATTCTAATCTGAATATATGCATACCCACATACACAAACATACACTTACTGTTACACATACATGTTTCAATGCATACAAAAATAATGATTTACATACAAATATATGTATATATATAAACTAATGGTACTATCATGTATAAATGTAAATCTGTGATCTTGAAGGTAGCATACAATTAATGTAAAGAAAAGGTAACCTGGACACAGAGGGTACCAGGGGACGATGCCTCTGCACAGTCGATTATACTGGCAAACCCGTACTTTAAGTATTCAAGACACCCATTCTGTACATTTTGGAAGGAAAAGGAGGGGGGGGGGCACATTTGATTAAAAAAAAATCTTTCATAGGTTTACTTATACTTTTCATACTTCAGCTCTCATAATCATTTTACTGACTTGAATCAGTATTTGCACATCCTCATTAATCTTGAGCCAATTTAACTTATTATCACTGTCCAAGTTGTGGAAATTCTTACAAGATTTGTTTATTAATTCATACAAGACTTTTCTTTACAGCTGACATAGCTCGTAACAATGTCATCTTTTTGTGAGGTCCATTTGATTTTAGAAAGAAACAAAACAATATGTGTTTGTGAAACACTATGCGCCCGCCGGCAACAAAGTTCGAAAAAAGCTATTCTTAGCATATAGGTCAATGTCAAGGTCACAAGATCGTTGACCTTGGTGTCATTTGAAAGATCTTGATTAGTGGAATATGCATACCAAATATGAGGTCTCTATCTTTCATGGTTCAAAAGTTATGGTTAAGGTTTAAAAAAGCTAGTTTTAGCATATAGGTCACAGTCAAGGTCACAAGGCGATTGACATTGGCATCATTGGAAAGAGCTTATTTAGTAGAGTATGCATACTATATATGAAGTCTCTATCTTTCATGGTTCAGAAGTTACAGTGAAGGTTAAAGTTTGCAGAAAAAGCTATTTTTAGCATATAGGTCACAGTCAAGGTAACAAGGTCATTGACCTTGGTTTCATTTGAAAGAGCTTTATAAGTGGAGTATGCATACCAAATATGAAGTCTCTGTCTTTCATGGTTCAAATGTTATGGCGAAGGTTAAAGTTTGCAGACAAACAGATAGACATACAGGACAAAAACAATCTACGCCCCGGATCTATCGATCCCAACGCATAAAAACGTTTTATCTCCTCGCAACGGAGTTGAAGGGGATATACTCAGCAGTAACACAATCGTGTACAATTGTGTGTGTTCGTTTGTGTGTTTGCGTTTTTAGAAAAGTTCAATCAGAGCTGAAAAAAAGCTCACAAATTCATAAAGAAGCAAGATTTATGAGGGACTATCTCTTATGATGGAAGGATATTTAGAAGGAAATTCTTCAATTTAACACATTTGTAAAATTCAATATCTTTGAACTTTAGCCCCGTATATTTTTACTGAGAGAATATTTTCTATTATGATATGCGAAGAATATTAAATATTGGTCTCAATGTATATTTTAAGAACAAATTTTAGGCATGCACTCAAGAGACTTTGCTAAGATATGAAGATATATTAAAGAAGTCAAGATAAAATTAATTTACATCAGTGTTTGCCTGAAAATCGCATATTTTGACCAATCTCTCAAAACCTAGATCATTGGCCTGAACTTTTTCTTTTATTATTTTAAACTACATGATACTCCCAAGCGATCAGCACCTAAGTCATAAAAAAGTTTCAATTGAATCGAATTGATACAAGAAAATATTTTCTTGCCTATTTAGATTTTTTATACCCCAGATATGATACAGTGCACAAAGGTCACACAATAATTTATGCGTAATTTGTTGAATGATTATTATTATTCAAACTATTTTACGTAAAATAAGATTATATTTATTGCCACAGTGATTAACCAAGGAGTTGCAAATGGAGTTGCAAAATGCCAACTTACTTGTACCGCGTAGCTCAACAAGATGCACACTCCCCCCCCCCCCCCTCCCCCCAATTTCTTTGCAGTTTTGAGTCAAGTAATATAAGTACTTGTCTAAAATATACTTCTCAGAATTTCATTGATATAACTTATTTTAATTTCACGAGTGGACATACCTTAATTAAGAGGGGATGTTCCGCCTTGAGGTACCCTTAAAAATTGTTAAATCTACATCTGGGAATCAGACTTCCAAATTACTTAAAATCACAGGCACCTGACGAATGGATGTTGTAACCCCCGCCCCAGCTTCTGAGAATTTTATTAGGCACAGAAAATCACCAAAAATACATAAATTCCTAGTCTTATCCATGGGGGGGGGGGGGGGGGAATCAGGATTTGTGATTAGGGGGGCGTGGATAACTTTGTTGAGGCAAGGTGTCTGGAGCGGCCTTAAGGCCCCAGTGGGTCAAGGGCGAAGCCCTTGTGGATTTTGTGTATTTTGAGAGTAAAACCGGGCAGAATAATAGTGTATATTTTTCAGTTATTTTTCTTAAAATTGTCATATAGGTCCGGGTGTTTGAATATTCATTGTATTGAATATTTCTCATTGTATTGTATTACAACACATGCCACTATAATATACGATTTACTTACTTACTTACTAATACTTACTAATAGTGGTATTAGTTAGTTATGTATATACCAAAGTACGGCATTAGTAATACTAGTCATATCATACTATGAATGGTGGGGGCCCAGGGGGTGAAGCCTCCAGAAGCTCCTGGGTTTTTGTGTATTTAAAAGAGTAAAACCAGGCACGCTAATAGTGGTATTGGTTAGTTATGTACCAAAATATGGCAGTATTAATATTAGTCATATGATACATTGAAAATTTTAAGGGGTGGGTGGAGTGGGGTTTGCCCCCCCCCCCCCCCAACGCCCTCTTAAATCCGCCAGTATTATCATTCTTATATTTCGATATCTGATATCATTTTCCGCTTTTCTTAATTTAGAGATTGGCCCCGGCTATATGGCATATAAAAATATAAATAATTATATAATCAAACATAGTATTTCTAGCTGGACACATAAAGTAATATTAAAATATCCAAAAACAACCCCCCCCCCAAAAAAAAAAAACAAACAAAAACGTATACTTGTCTCAGTGCAGCATAATTGTACTAAACTTTTTTAAGGTACATGTATATGTCTTCATCTATTCGTCCTTTTATATTGTTAAATGCTTTCTAAATTATTCTCTTTAGAGAAGTGGACAGGCTATGAAGGTAAAAGCCCGTACTCGCCCAAACGTCAAAAACCTATTTCGTGGGGGGGGGGGGGGGGGGGGGGTCCACCCCCGACCTCCCCCTTTAGATCCGCGCATGTAGGGGGCCTATAGATTAAAATCAAAAATAAAATAATTGGAGAAAAAAAGTTGAAGTAAATATTTATTTAAAAAAACAAAAATCAAATCAAAACAAGGTCACCCGTAAGCACGAGAGAAGAAATAAATCGCAAATTTGATTTTAAAAATGGTTTCCATCAAATATTCTTTGAAATGTTCTCATTATCCCTCGGAGGGCCTCAATTCCGGGAGATATATTTGTTGCCTTATTTGTAACCGGAAATGACGTTTCTCCCGCCATGATGGAAAAGTGAATGTGGAACTCCCTTCTGCAGCAGTTCAGGTGTCATTGACCGTAAACAGTTAGCCTATATGACGGGAAGGTTTGTACCAACTTCAACATTTCTTTTATTGCAATCTGTGTGGAAAGGCTCGTGTACTTTCGTTTTTAACAAGCGGCACTGGACTGTTAACAAGAGAAGGGGGGTATATGTTGTTGGTATGTTGTTTATTGTTTATTCCTTTCTGGGGGGGGGGGGGGGGAACAGGCTTTTCAGAGGTCTAAGAAGGCTAGTCGTTTCTAATCAGATGATCGGTAGCAAAAAAAGAATAATTATTGACAAGAATTGATCATAATGTATGAGGAATGTTTATGTGAGATGAGACAGCCCCAAGAGATAACGTTATTCATGCTCATGAATAATGAACCAAAAGTTGAATAACTTGTAACATAAATAACCTTAATATCATTTAGGATAACTGTTTTACAACAGGTTATTTTGTTTTTACCAGGCTGTCCAAATTCAATATGGACAATCGGTATGAAACACTTCTGATCACTTGACAGATGAACAAGACGGAAAGTTTATATATGCGCTGACATATATGTCATGTGTTTTAAAATACAGTATGCATATATTTAAACTCTGTCTCCGTCAAGTTATAAATATGATTCTATCCTATATGATAAAAGGCTTAAGATTTATTAATTTTTAAGTGTATTCAGTTGAAAATGTAGATCTTATCCATAGAACCTTTGTGGACCATGTGTTAGAGACATCTATCATTCATTCATTGGGCAGGCATGTTTTCTAGACAAAAGCAAGGAAAATTTTTAAGTGATGACAATTTTTATGTAAATCTATCAGCAAACTTGTCCTTAAACCCATTAGGTGCTTGTTGAACTTTACATTTACCGGTAGAAAATTCAATCAATCAATGACCATAATATGATAAACTACAAACACTGTTTCCTTCTAAAAATAACTTCATCCAGAAATTCAGAGTACAGATGTATAATGTCAAGAATCTGAAAAAAAGAAAATTTTAAAAATTTAATATATTGAACGCATTTTGATGCAGGTTATTCTGTATGGTGACTTATTTCTACAAAGCCTTTATAACTTTTGTTGTCTTCCTCACAGTCTAACAAAATGTCCAGCAATGTACTCTCAGACTTTATGTCTACATTTTGAAATCACTTTTACACATTTGGTCGGACTATAAGTCGAATGTTCTGTCGTACCTGACAAAGTTTTGTCAGACCAGATACATGTACATGTACCTTATTTTGATGCTGAGAAAGGAAAATGAATAACTGCACCAAAATGCACTTTATTATTTTCAACAGTGTTCAATCTTACAAGTTTCTTTTCTTGGGAATAGAAAGTCTTTAATCTAAGACATAGATAACATGTTTCATGTCAATTAAATCTACCATCTTCACCATGCAGCCATCTCATCTGTTTTATATGCCCTTCACGTGCACACTCTGATTCAATCCCATCTTTTTACAATTTGCATCATGTGGTCATTTGGACTGACATTTTCTTGAAATTTATCAGTCCAGTCAAATTTTTTACCAGCCTTGCAAACAGGACCGTCAAATTTTGACATTAGTCTGGTCCTCTGCAGATGAAAATTGAAATGGGAAAATGATACTCCTCCTTTTCATTGTATGCTCATAGCATGATCAAATCTGAAAGAAAATGACAATTTAAATTTACTACAAAAAAGAATGTGCTGGTTGCTAAATTTCTTCACATGCATGTACAAATATCTCAAATACAACGATCTGCATGGTTTTCTACTTAACCACTGAAACAATGTACTTATTATAATAAGACTGATACTCTGCAGGTTCCTGACACAAAATAAACACAAAGGAATTTTAATGGCTGCTGAAGTTAAAATTCCAGGCGATAAGTACAGGAAGTTAACTTTACATGTAACATTCTTGTCTCCTTGCTAACCCCCATCAGTAGCTGACTGTGCTTGTGATAACTTAACTACATGGGGTCTTAGAAATTCTGATGCTAGACTGATCCAGCTTTAATAAGGGGTGTAAAAAAAGAAGCCTGGCATTGGAAATCTTTCCAGTTGACCAGTTTTGACAGTTTTTCATGATGGAGGTAAAGAAGGCTGATGTTGGAGAGATTAATGGGTAAGGGTCATCGAAGGTTATTTAAAATTAGAAATTCCCACATCAGCAGGGAAAAATAATTTTAGTCAAAATAAGTTGTGTTAATTATTATTAATAATTATTGAGTTAAATTATTATTTGGGGACCATTCAAGTAGTGTATAAAATTGATTGTGCGGATGATACCATTTATTTAAGTAATGGTATGTTTGTATGAACTATATGATGTCCATTAATTGTCCATAAAAAAAAAGCTATATTACATGTACTTTGAGAGCTATTGATTATTTTTGCATTCCATGGTTGCTTTTCCTATAAGTTGGCATTCTTATGTCAGTGAAGTATTCATGATGATTAAGTCAGCGAATACCACATGGCAAATGAGACTTGTAGTAAAAAAAAAGTAAATACATTGAGCATGAAATCTGTAACAGTTGTGCTTTGTTAAACTTCAGTTGTACAGGTATGCAAATAAAGGTTCCATAATAAGTGCGAATTTGAATTAAGTTTTTATCAAATTGTTAGGGCTGAGCATTTTGCCAATATATCAATATTACAAAAACGTTTTAAATACTAATAGATTTATGATAATTAAAAAATATATGCTTAAAAAATATATATATTGTAATTCTTTTCTTTATTTTGCATGTTCCTGTATGATTACACTGTAAAGTAAAAAAAAAAAAAAGATCATTAACATTGTTGCAGAGTGCATACATTGATCTTACTGCAATTTGTTCAAAAGTTGATTTTACCATTTATATTGTTGTAAAGAATATTGAAATAATTATAAATAGAAAATTTTTCTGAGAATAATGAATTGCACAGTCTAGCTGACATGCAACTTTTAAGCCAAGAAGGACAACTCTGTATGGCATGTTACAGGAAATAATTGAGCCCAGCATTGCTGAATCACACTTGCACAGGAATGTGTTCAATATTTATCTAACAATGAGGAAATGATGTGTATAGTTATATAAAATACTCAAGAAGTATTAGATACTGTTCCATGTAGCATCACAATCAAGTCTGCTTGTGTATAAACGTAGGGAAGGTAATGTAAATTTTGTTGACCTCGTATGACTAATCAGTAATGTACTTACATGTACTTATGTGCATATAGTGAAATCATAGGCATAAAATGAGTATATTGGAGTGTAGCATACATTTTATGTTAAATTAAAAAAAAAAGTTTGATATGGAAATGTTTATCATGCAGTTTTTCTTATACAATATTATTGTACATGTATGAAAATAGATACTGAATAGGTTCAATGTTTATTTTGATATCTGATTTCTTTATGCTTATAATATATTGTTGCAAACATGCAAAAGTAATCATGAATAAGCAATGAGCTCTTAAACTGTTTGGATTTTGTTGTGCATGTTATTTCCATAATGTATGAATAATTTTAATGTTTTTAATTTTCATGTGAATGTAGATTGGGCATGTTTCTTTTACATTTGTATTATCAGTGTAAGAAATCCCCCAAATGTGTGCATCATACGTGTGCATAAATTGAGCACTAATCTTGTCAAATAGAGGAAAAGGTTAGAAACTGTAAGAATGATTGTCGAGTTTAAATCTCTTTCAGAGTGAAATCAAACCTTGAAGAGGCGCAGTCAAATTATGTCGTGACTTTGCCATTTCTTGGTTATGCTTAGTTTCCATACCTAGAAATCATACTGAAGGGTATTCTCTTATTTGGTGGATTTGTACTTCACCTGAAGTCATGAACTCTCAAGTTATTTCATCTTTTCTCATAAGGAGGTTGACTGGTCAATATATTACACTGAAAGTCCACCTAGAAATATGAAATACAGTTTTTCTATAGCCTTTAACAAGTACATCACGGCATGTGCAAACTGTAATACAGTAAGGTATGATCCTTGGACAGTAAACAGGCATATTAGCAAACAAATCTTCAATGGCAAGTCCAAAACATCTTTTTATAGTAACTTAAGTAAATCAGGTACACAGGAAATACACTGGAATTCTAGAAAACAGAAATTGTGTTCATTGACAACACAGCCAGAGAAAATTGATTGTGTGCAGCTAAGTGTTTAGCATCCCATTCGCAAATTTTTCACTCATATAGAAACATAACTATATACCAGTGAAGGGCTTCAAATTAAGACTTTAATTTACCCAGCACTTAAGGCCATTGATCAACTCAAGTCAAGTATCGCAGTAAGCATATAACTCTCTCCTATCCATGGCTGCTTGATTGCATAAACTGTTGTAATCTTGGAATATTTACACCTATATGCTGTGACATCATGTTCAGCCAATGATAATATTTGTTTCCATTGCAAATGAAATCAACATCAACATCATCAGTGCACAAAAATATTACGTAAACTGCAATAAGGTATTGAAAGGTTGTGACAAAGTTTGTTTTCCAAATATACTTTACACACATTGGTCAGTATTTTAATGAAGTACGAAATGCTCTATTCTCATTCAACTACAACCAGAATGGGAGTCTCAGAGAATCGTACATTTTGGCGGTAGTTTGCAATGATGGGGGCCATTGAGCAATGATTATGAGGGATTTTCTTGTGCCAACACCTGATAGACAAGGGGCTTTGATTTTAAGGTCTCATTTAAAGGACCTGCAACTTCCACTTCATTAGTGGTGAGCACTTGATGAAGAAACAGTTGCTATCTATATTACATTGTATATTGACTTGCGTCAGTCGTGGGCATGTCTGAACCCAAGACCTTCCAAACACAGAGCGAGTGCGCTACCGACTGAATGCTAGTTATCACAACCCATCTTCCAAAGATAGTAAACATATAACACTGGAATTGAATTTAGAGTGCAAGAGGCAATTCTTTCAGTGTCAGACAGTACCATATTTCAAATGAAGCACAGTGTAAGTAACCAACTTCAGAGGATTGTAAATTACAGCTGTGTATCAATACATGTAATCCTGTTGGTAGCAAAGTCTCTTGAGAGAGTGAATCTTCAAATTAATGTACAAACTTTGTGTGTAAATCTTTCTATGATAAAAAGAAAATGAATAGTTCATACTTCTCTTATGCAATTGTCGCAATAAAAATTCCATTAATATGAAAAGGGGCATATATTCTAAAAACATTTACCTATTTAGTGAATTAACATACGACAACTGTTTATAATATATATATGCTTATAAATACCTGACAGGTGTGTGCAATTCATCCTCCAGATCCACAAATAAAAATAAAATTGTAGAAAGAATGTTCTGTGCCATGTAACAGGAGAAACGTGGTGTTATGTGACAAGGGGGCCCTAGCTGGTGTAAAACTTTTGTATTTTAACTTCTGTAATCCCAGGAAAAAGAGAGAAAAACCCTTAGGCAACATCTCTTTTCAGAATTATTTAAGCATATTAATTTGACCATTTCCACGGCATTGGTGACCCAGTAGTGTTATGTCAATACAGGTTTTTTGACATGGCCGAATAAATTTGCGATCTTTCCACATGGCTATCATAAACCATGATTTTAAAGTTCTATAGGCCAAGGAGATTATTTTAAATGTCTTAGGCTGGGTAGAAAAAAATAACAATAACATTGTTTCTTCTTGCATTTGTAAGTTATTAGTATTGTCAGGTGTTTTTTGTTTGTGTGGAGTGAAAAGAATTCGGCAGACTGGAAAAATGATTGTACAACAGAGTCCGGTTTAATGACCTGCAACATTCACCAGAAGATGAAATAGAACTGTGCAGTGCTTTCCTGTTTTGAATATAGACTCCAGGATTCTATTTGTGTAAGATCGTTGTATACATACAATTGACTCCTGGATTTTGGATTGAATATTAATGAAGTGTTGGTGATTAGTTGACATATGCTGTTGATATAGCTCTTGTTTTTTTTTTTTAAAGTAGGTCAGGAGATAAATGAATTTACCTTCTATTTTCCACCTGAGTAGAACTGAAACGAGCTGAATGTCTGAAGAGATAATTAGTTTCTCCACACTTTAAGTTAAATGGATTTTTGTGTATTGACACCCAAAGGAAAAGTTGAATGCATTTAAGTTGATGTGTTGGGAGTAATTGAGTGAGAAAAAGACTCTTGGTGTTTATCTGATGTATGGTGATCCACTGAGACTGTCAATATTGACAAATTTGTAGACACCTGGTAGACGTTAGCCGCAAATTGACTTACCTGTGTTAAAAATCATCATGTGGACATAAGTATCAATAACAGCATACCTGTCCTAACTTGGCCACAGAAATTTACAACCCATGTGTAGCAAAGATGACATCTTGATATTAGTTAAATATTTCACCGCACTTGACCCCATTTGTTAAAGAAAATATACCTGGTAAAATAGATACATTAGCTGAAGAGAGACACACCTGTGAAACTGGGATTCTTTTACCTGACACATTTTTACTCTGTTTTTATTCAAATTTTGTGTCAGCTTCATATTTTGTGTAAATTTGCCAGTGGTGAAACATAATGTGGTGATGATGTAATGGTTTCTTTTTTATTATCCAATTTGCTATTGATTTTGAGTTAACTAGTGCTGCATGAAAGGACAAGCAGAAAACCAAATTTACATTGACTTGGGATCATAGTTTGGACTTTCATGAAATTTGTGGTTTGTTGAGAGGAATCTTTCATACAGCAATAAGCTACAATGGCCAATCGTCGTAATAACCCCGGATTTTTCCGACTCCAGTCTTTAGGGGAGAATACTGAGAGTGATTTGTTTCAGAGACGACGCCTTCATTACGATGACCCGTTACCAGAGAGAAATTTTTACGGTGCCACAAATGGCATACCTGGGGTGATGCCACTGGACAGGTAATCAGGGGGCTACATGTTCTGAAAACCAGGAAGTATTTTTGAGGAATTTCAGTGTTTACTAAAAATGACATTGAAAATCAGGTGTTGAATCAAGTTTTTTACTAAATTTGAGGTGATTCATCCCTTGATTTTTTATATTGTTTATTTTCATTGAGGAATACATATAGATCCCAAGTATTTCTTAATTTTTTTTTTCTCACTTTGGTTGTCATCTCATGAATTTAATTATAAAGGTATAATGAAAGTTTTAAATTGTGCATTTATGCAGCTAAAAAACAGGTGTTAACATATTGTATGATAATATGCTTACAATAGATGTGTGCTATTCAAGATAAATAATTTATCTTGAACATAAATAATTTATGATAATTCACTTAATTAATGTAAACTCATATTGTGCATGTTAAGTGTTATTAGGACAACACATGCATTAAATTTATTTTTCTACATGCATTGCTATACTTGGCCAACTTATTGAATACTAGTACTCTTATGAACACAATATGGTTTTTTTGCCTCTTTTGTAAATAAGTGGAGCAATATACCAGCTAGATGAAACTTGAGCTGAATATGGTTGGATTTACGTTTTAATTTTTATTCATTTACATGTTGGGTAATGTTGATATTTGACTATCCGCAAGCATTTAGTACCAAGAATTTATGGGTGTACAAGTTCTGTATACAAGAGGCCTCTTGAGGGTACACTGATATTTGCACAAGATATTTTGCAAACAAATAGGTACATTATGTACACTATCAATTCTCAAGAAATTACAGAGCTTCAAATACGACAAAGTATAGAGGTAATTTTAGATAACAAGTAGGAAATTCTATTGCTAGTATTGACACAAGTTCAGAAAATCTCAATGGAAATGCATATCCGATTCACATTAAATCCCAACTGTTAACAGCAACCATAGAAGTTTATCTTAAATTGAATCTTGTGTAAATTTTTACGGGCTTTTATGAAAGATAGTAGTCATATATATACCTCTGTAAGGTTTCTGATTCTGAATGTTTTTATCTGTTCACTAAAATGTTCAAATTTATGATGATATTGATTCAAACCATTTATATTCTGAATTATATTTTGTACATTGGAACATGTACAAGATTATAAGAAACATATTTTGAATGCCCTTTATATGAAAAAATATCATGTTATCATGTACAGTGAACTTGCAATGTTCATGAAAATATGTAAGTACATGTATTTCCCTGTTTAAAAAAATATTAGTGGAATTTCATTTAATTCACATGAAATAATTTTGATATAAGATTTGAAAATCTTGTCAGCTAGAACAGCAGATGGCAGTCAAGTGCATTTGCAAGTTGCAAAATTTGCAAAACAGGTTGTGGAAAATTCCATACAGAATTTCTTTTCTTACAAGCTTGATCAAACAGTACTCCCACACATTCTTAAGGAAATTCATTTTAACATAATATTTAGTGTGGCTGTATAAAATATATTGATGCTGTCTGGCTTTAAAGAATATTGATGACTTGTATTTGTTTTTTACAGCAGCAACATGTCCTATGGAAATGGGGCATTATGCCACAGGTGTCACGAGGGATTTGGAGCGAATGAGGAAATTGTCAACTCCAACGGGGAAATGTGGCACACACAGTGCTTCGTGTAAGTACTCTGCCCCTCCCTACAGGACCCCCCTCCCAATTATAGTCCATCCCAACATGTAAAGGTCTTACACATTGTAGGATGACACATGATAATCATAATCAAATTTGCAGAGGACAGTTGTAACGTTTACACTTACATACCAAATAGGAAGAAATTCACCCAACAATTTCAATAATTTCTTCAGATAGGGCTTGATCAATATCATTTGAGTTTTCATGTGCACATCTGAGAAAGAAATTCTATGCATTGTTAAAGTAATATGAGTACAACATTTGATCTTAACAATAAGGTATGTTGAATGTTACATTGATAGATGCATGTTACAGATGTTTGCTTTATTATACTCACCCAAACAACTGTCTTATATATAAACTGCCAAATCAATCTTTTTTATCAAATTTTAGAGTTGCATGCCTCCTTATTAAAGTACAATAAGCAAAATAGTCAAGCATGCATAGTTTTAAGTACTGTATGCAAGGTTATTTTCGCTCTGTGTTATTTTCACCCTTTCATACTTGCAAACAACTTTGTCCCATTTTAAATACTGTAAAATCACAAATTTTCATGGTGTCAAATCTTCTAGGTTTGGGGAAAGAAAATTGGTTCATATGTGGATTTGATTTCCATAGTTGGAAAATATGTTTAAGAGTAAGGCCATCCTGAAAAAAATGTTTGTTTGGAATTGCCGCCTGGGGGTTTTCAGACCCAGGAGGGAGGGAGGGAATTTATTTTTTTTTTTTTTCACAAATTGAAGCTATATAATTAATAGAAAATAAAAATCTCAATGAACAGTGGTGATTTTCGTTAATTTCCCTCTTTCTTTTATTTGATTAATATCACTTTTGTCTAAAATATACACAGAACAGTACTCAAGTATCAATCTTTCTTCGATGTTACATTTGCTCATCTATTAAAAGTCAAATTTCAGAGTCAAACTTTTTTCTTTTAAATCTTTTTAAAACGATTTCTTAACAAATCTTTTTAAAACAATATCATTAGTGTATTTCATAGCATTTCTCTTTGAAATTTAGCCCTTCATTAAGACAACCCTTACAAAGAGTGCGAACCACACAAAATTTCTTAAAAATAGTTGGGATGTTTTGTGGAAAAATTTTTATATCTAGAGTGTTCGCTATGAATCAGTTTTAACATTAGGTTTCAAAGACTTGTCATACTGACAGACAACATTTTTCTTTTTGTATTTGGGAATAAACATTTCTGACCCTTTTATTTTTTTAACTGGGAATCATTAAAAAATTTAATTTCAACATGATGGACTTATCTTATCAAGTTCAAAGGGCAATCTATTACAATAGCTTTTTCCAGGTATCGGTGTATCATTCCATTTAATTTTTTATTCACCTTTTATTTTATGAAAATGCATAAATGTTCTGGTCTTCAACACTTGAATGTTTTCACATTCACTGATCCAAAAGCGGCTTTATATTGTCAAAGCCACCTATATTCCCTATATCATAAATACTATGAAGAAAGTGTTTTATTGACCGGTGTTGTTAAAATTATGTGAGCTCAAACCCGACTTTAAAAAGCTATTTCGAATAACAAACTAACTTGTAAAAAGCAATGTCGCCTTTATGTCGGACATAAGACGGTAAAAAAAATATTTCCAATATTTTGCCAATAAAATTTTTTGAGCGGGGGGTATTTCAATGAGGCGGGCGGCAATTCCAAACAAACTATAATTTTATTTTGGCCTAATGCATATGAAATTTTACATTTCATGGTAGTCATAAATTCATGGGTTTCTCCATACCTTGAAAACAACAAAAATTAAACCCTCTATGAAAATTAGTGATTTCACAGTACTCAGTTTTGTTTTAGAAAAGATACTGTGTTACATATGTATTTGAATTTCGCTCCCTTTTTAATTTGCCCACCTTTGAGTAGGGCAAAAGGGGTGAAACAAAACAGGGGCAAAAATTTCCCTGTATAAAGTGTCATTCCAAACCAAGAAATAATTCAGAGTGTTTTATTATTATATCTAGTACTGTAGTCATTCTAGAGGGTGTAGATTCATTATTTAGGTAATACATATTGATCATAGTCATTCTTAATGTGATTATAAAATTGTTAAAGTCTATATGTTCAATGTTTATGTAGATAAATGATGGTGTCAATTCTAGTGAGCCATTTGTGAATAATAGTTGGAATTGTTGCATACATATACATTTATTCATTTTATTGCCTTGCTTAGCTATAGACTGTATAGTGCATGTATTAATCTTTACTTATCTTTATCTGCATTAAATATTTTATCATCTTGAAGATCTTTTAAACTAGATTGTAATATAATATTATTTGGTTTGTACCTTATTAACACCTCTTTTCTTGGGTTTTAGGCCATAATAAAAATATTCCTAGATTCTCATCCCCGCCCGCCCCGATTTTAAACCCCTGCTTCGATTTTTTTTATTTCTGTTTTTCTTCGTCTATACTGTATAATGGTATTCATCTACCATTCTACTTTCGTTTTAAGTCCCGCGAAGGAAGTCGACATGATTTTGACAGCTGAGAAGATGGTAATTGCTGTAATACTTGCATATATATTTTGAACAAGGATCATTGGTTGAAAAAGATTGGTGATGATGTGAAGTAAGAGATAATTGAACCTTTACTATGACTTTTATTCGGGTATTGTAGATAATTTTACACCGATTGACCAGGTCAATAAAAAATCTGCAAAATTGAAAAAATAAAAAATATAAAATAAAAGCCGCCCGCCCGCCTTGATTTAAAAAAAAATCCGGATGAGAATCTAGCAATTTATTTTTTATGGCCTTAGTAAATATTTTATATTTAGATGAAATTCTCCAAGAGTTACATAGGTAAATAACCTAGCAGTCTTATTTGAATATATCTGTCCTGATATAAAATGCAGCATTCATAACAATTAAGTTAAACATATAAAGTATTGTAAGACTGTTATTGTAATAGCTTGTATTCTCATATTTTTAAGTTTTTATCTGTACCTTATGTCATGAATGAAGTTTTCACATGATGACATCCCAGAAACTCATATGAATTGTATACCTTTCATGTGCAATATTATTGCCACAATATACATGTATATGTTTATTATTTCATGTTAGGCTACATATATCATGTATATTAGGAACAAATTTGCTTGTGTTTACTTTACATGTCCATACACAGTTTATATAGAAAATTGCACATTCCCTTTATGTATTGAACCTGATTGTTTGCTTTATGGCATACTAGAGGAACACTTTTTTGTGTTGCTTCCTAAAGTCAGGTGACATCATGATATGCAAAATCTTTTCATATTTTCATTCTGAAGTCAGAGAAAACTTTTTGAATCTGATTGCATGATTTCAGAGGAATGAATCTATGAAAATCTCACTGACAGAAATTCTTCAGTGACAAACCATTGTAACTACTAACTTTTACATATACTTGTAGTAAATGTGGAAAATCATTGTGTATATATATCTTTACTCTATTAAATTAATATATGTTTCAACATGTTATCTTTTAAGAACAAAAAAAGTTAACAGTGCCACTATTCCTTAATCTGCTTCTTCTTACTTCTGAATCAATATATTTCCACATTTACCTCATTGGCATACATTTTGTACTCTATAAGAATGCTTGCTGTATTTATACTCTCACTGTTGCGTTCCGCATAGAAGCAGAAAAGCAAGGCCAGCCCCGGGTTTTACATGCTCTAAATGTCAGGAGACACTGTCTCCTTGGGAACAGATGGTGAATTTTAACGGTCAGGTGTGGCATACTACCTGTTTTGTGTAAGTACTAACTGGGTTCAGGTATATAACTAATGGGGATGTGAAGTTTTAAATGGTAAATGTACAAGGGTGGTGGTACTAGTTGTTAAATTTGATGATTGTGATGTTGGTTAATCTAAAATTTTCGCATTTTCAGAAAGTATTTAATTTCTCTGATTCTTATTTTCTAAAGCTAAGTATAATTTCAATTTTGTATTTGCAATCAACCTTCACTTATGAAATGGCTTCTCCCATATTGCTTATTTTAGCAGTTATTGCTAGCTTTAATGTATCTTTTGCTAGTCTTTGCACTTTTTTTCATACTGTATGACACTCCTGCAGCTTTTTGCAAATTAAATTGCTTGTTTTTATTTTCTTCCCAAAATTTTGCTTCAGCTTTATTTTGCTTTTAATAGATAAAATTTCATTCTTCATATTACAATATATACATTTACAAAACATACAATGCATCTTAATAAAAATTTTATATCAAAATTTTCAATTTCTTCAATATATATTAGCTGTCTAGACTCATGACTAGTTCCCATCATATAAGGAGACCAGTTTAAGGAATTTGTAGGTGAATGAAAAGTTAGATGCAAAAGGAATTCAATTTAACGCTTTTTTTTGTCCTTCTCTCTTCTAGCTGTGCCCAGTGTTTCCAACCATTTCCAGAGGGTGTGTTTTATGAGGTAAGCCTTGTAAATTGATAGGTATTAATGTCTTATATATAAAAATAATCTTTGATGAAGAACAACAAAGCCATGATTGGTCATATTTATGTGAAAGCATCCTTGGGTGGTGTAAATTCAAATTTGTTAAAATCATGACCCTTGGGGATAGGGCAGGGCCACAAAAGACAAGCAAAGTTTTACATAGGAGTATATATTGGGAAAATCTACTTCTCAAGAAATTCAAAGCCATGTTTGGTCATATTTATGTGAAAGCATCCTCAGGTGGTGTAGATTCAAATTTGTTCAAATCATGATCCCTGGAGGTAGGGCGGGGCCACAGTAGGTATTACAAAGGAGGGGATCTTTTAAAGAACAAAAAAAGTTACTCAGGTAAGCAATGTGGCCCATTGAACTCTTGTAAATAAACTTACCTGATACATGCCTTTTTTTCCCCTCCTAGTAATGAATAATGGAGAATTTTTGTTAAATGATACACAAGATTCATTGTTGTTTGTAATGAGATCCATATTTATAACTTCTTGTGAACAAGATATTTTTTTGCTGTAATATTAAGATATTTTTACATCAATCATCTCGGATACACTACTCTTTAGCATAAAAACAGGACAATCTGTTGAAGGTTATTCAGTTTGTTATAGACCATTTGATTGTCAGTATCAGATGAGGCATTCAGTGATGATCTCTTTATTTTTCAGTTTGAAGGAAGGAAGTACTGTGAGCATGACTTTCATGTCCTGTTTGCGCCATGCTGCGGAAAGTGTCGTAAGGATAATTTTTTTGCACAATTGTCACCTTTGTCAATCATATTTATTTTCCTCACAAAAGAACTGCATATGATAGCATTTTTTCTTACTGTAGTAAATTAATCCTCAAATCTTCACAAGGAATTGAACTAAGCCCCCCCAAAAATTTGAAAGTCGGAAGATAGATAAATACATGTATATACTAGCTAATACAAAAAAAGCACATATACGTGTATAATAGTAGCACATAAAATAGTCGGCCTTAAAAAGTTAAAATATTTGTATTTTGTATTCACATTAACGGTTTTATTAATTAAATTGAAATCTTTCACAAAGCCACATTTAGCAGCTGTTTAAAAAATAAATATATAAAATAAATATTTAATACTCTTACAGTTTAATTAATTATTAATGAAATCAAATATTACCTGATTTTTTTCATGTTTGGGTACCAAAAATTGAATTGAAATGAAAGATAATTTTTATATATTAGGGAATTTCAATGTAATATAAATGATTTAATAAATTAAACACAAAACTTACTGCAGGAAAATGAACCATTTTTTTAAATAATATTGATTAAATTGTGTTTGATTTCCGTAGCGGAGATATTTTTCTTGATTTTGATCTAGAAATAAAATTTTGATATACCTACTAGCGATTATTGATACATTTATAGATTTTTTTTTAACACGGAGCATTATCTATAGGAGGGAAACCGGTAAATCAAGGCTATGAATATACTTATTCAATTTTTCTTTTTACATAAAGCTTATCAAATTGTTTCCGCTGTGAAATCTGTATGGCTCCACTGGCTGATGAGGGCTTTGTCAAGAATGCTGGAAGGTATATTTCGTCATTAAAAACATAATCCTTTTATTCAGCTTTCCTAGATGTGTAGGATTTATAATAAAACAAAAAAAAATAATGATTTATAGTTTCTCAGGCATTGAAAAAACTACCAAATCAGTTCTGTTTATTTTACAAAAACTTGCATTTGGTAAATTTTTTTGACATTTTGAAAGGGAAATAACTCATTAAATATTTTCCATTTTAGTTGAAAAAAAATTGAGTTATTTCAGGTGTCATTAAGTTAATAAAGAGACATATAGCAAAACAATTTTCTTGCCATATACAGTTATTTGTTTAATGAACTTGATATAACAAATGTTTACGTTTTAAATTGCGCACACATTATTTAAAAAAAATATGACCACATTTATTTAATATATTAAGGGAACAAAAAAGATAATCAGTTAATAACACATTTTGTTGACCAAGTGATACCTGTTAAAAAAAAAACCTGCCTGTAGCATTGAATTTTGAAATTTTTGGCCTGAGAAGCTATTATTTTGAAGGCTGAAAATGATACATTGTGTTTAAATTAGAGATGAGCGGAAACTGATATATTTTTGCTTTAAATAAAAAAAAATACATTGTAACTAAAAGAAAAAAATTTTACATTTCATGATTATAAAAACAAATTGTGTACATAGTTTATTAATTTGAACACATTGTTTATAGAAAAGAAAACAAACAAATTTGTATTATACTTCGTGTAATGTCATTTTGAATGTTCAAAGTTTTAATGCAGTTGTATGCTAAATATTTTTGTGTGTATACTTGTACATATGTATGAATTGCATTTTAGAGCCCTATGTCGAGAATGCAATGCCAAAGAGAAAGCCAAGGGTCTGGGCAAATATGTATGCCACAAATGCCAGTAAGTGTATAATCCAATGGTTAAATAATTTCAAATTTTTCACAAATTGCAAATGAAAGACGGTTTACAGTGACGCTACATCCAATTTGCACGGTTTACACGAAACGCTACATGGTTTGCACGAAACGGAAAGCGCAAAAATTACCGCTTTTTTTTAGCCCAATTTCTGTTGCTGTATATTAGCTAATACAACACAAAACCGTTGTTTTTGTTAAAATATTGTATTTTTTTCACAAAGTACATGTACTAAAATGGAACAGTTTCTAATAATGAAATCAAATATTACCTGATTTTTTCATGTTTAGACTCAAAAATTATTGAAATGAAAGACATTTTGTAGGAACATCAGATTACTTAAAGCGTTAACAAGACATAGAAAAACACATGGGTCTCCTTGTCAAACTTGTGTGTAAATACAGGAGTTATTGTGGGGAAAGTGTAAGATGCATATTAACCGACTGTGAAACATAGCTTTATTTGTAAATCCAAGTATATAGTTCATTAAAAACATAATCCATCTTTCCTAGATGTGTAGGAAACGAAAATCAAACTGTTTCTACATCATCAGGTCAAAAAGATTTAATTTTAGTATTGCAGAGAAAAATTGCAGCATTATGTGTAGCTAGTTTTAATTAGAAAGCTTTAATAATTACTTTGAAAAAAATGATGTAATAAATCATATTTCAAATTGACCACATTTATTTAATATATGGCTATTAGAAAAGATAAGGATTAATTTTTTTTACCAATATTGTCAAAAAAAAAAAAGGCATTGAATACATGTATACTGATATAGGTTGTGTCACATGGGAAACAACTTTCAAAGTTTTAAAAAAGATTTTAAAAATATTTAAAAACTGTGTTTAATTTATTGTTTTGTAGTAAATATATTGATAAATGATGTTACATTTAATGCAGTTACATATTTTTGTGTGTTACTTGCCAATTAAGGTTACATGACAATTTTTAAAATATTGCCCAAGAGATACAAATGTCTGGGCAAAATTTTTCCACAAATGTAAAGGTATAATCCAATGGTTAAATAATTTCAAATTTTTCACAAATTGCAAATGAAAGATTCATTATGTTTAATTTCTATGTGATAGGGGCTTGAACTTTCAAATAATATTTTAAACAGTTTTCCTTATAACAAAAAAAGGAGGATTATGTAAATACTTTTGGTCATAAGTTAGTGTTGAGCAAACTGCAATAAAGAGACATTAAACCTGATATTGTGCTTAATTTCAGTGCCATCATTGATTCTGGACACATCAAGTTCCGGGGAGAGGCCTACCATCCTTATCACTTTAACTGCAGCTCTTGTGGGTAAGTCCCGAACATAATATTGTCATAGCTGCAGAGAGAACTGGATCTCTCCGAAAAAATATATATTGACAGACCGGAGTTCTTGAATTTTGCAGAAAAAAAAAGTGTGTTTGAGAACCTTCAACAAAGAAATAAAATCTGAGCACACCCCTCAATCCAAAAAAGAAAATAATGTTTTAATCTACGTGAACAGTTCTTTCATAATATATTTTACACATTTTGGGTCTAAGGTTGTGCTGTATACCAAATAGTGAAAATATCATATTTGGCAATTTTTGAAGAAAGAAATATTCAGGATATGTGTCATCTTCTTAGCCAAGGGTTTCCTATCCGAAATATACTCTACAACCCTTGGCAGATTTGGCTGAAAATTTTAGAACTCGCGCAAACGAATTTGATTGGCTGCAAAGTCCCAGTCTACGCAAGGTTTTTACCAATGGACGATTTTCGGCTGAATTAAAGTTTGTTCGTGTTGTATGCAAAAGAAGAGTATTATTTACAAGGGATGAAAGTTAGGACGTGATGTATGCTAAAAAAACAAGGGAATAATTAATTTGAATTTTTTTTCTTTTGATTATATATGTTTTCAAGAATTATTGAAAGGACCACATAAGTCCGTGTTCCGCATTTTAGGTGCATCAATTTAAGCCAATCAAATGTCACGGCTCATTGATAATAATTGATACGGCAACATGTAGAAAGTGTTGTCAAACTCGAGACAAAAAATCGTGAAGAACGATATTTTCTACCACTTTTGAGTTGTGCCGACAGCTGTATGAGGTGTTGGGTGGTAATATTCCACATCAAATTGCATGGAGGTCACCATATTGTTTCAAACGTCATATTGATTTACATATATTACAGCTATTTTCGTTGGACAAATATTTAAGAGCTTCAAGGGACTTAACTCAATTATGGTGATAGGTGGCGCAATTAAAGTTCCCGTTTGATAGGACTAAATCTGCCAAGGGTTGTAGATTAGGCGAGCGAAGATGGATATATGTATAATGATGCAATTCATGACATCATAATGCATTGATAAGCACAAAAAATCCCTAAGTGGCTCTTAGTCGAAGTGGCTCATTACAAGTACTTTTTACATTCTGAGCATTGAACTTGTTTATTTGAAACAAGACATCTCTACAAGAGAAATGTATTGTTTTTATTTTAAAAAAACTCAATTTTATTTATGGCTGTGCCATTAGAAGGATTGTATTGTTTATCTCCCTTTGTTTACAGTTCAGAGCTAAATGCAGATGCCAGGGAGAAGTCGGGAGAACTGTATTGTCTACGCTGTCACGATAAAATGGGAATCCCTATCTGTGGGGCATGCAGGTTAGTCTCAGTAATCTAGAATAAAAATGAGATTCTGTTGGTTTAGATGCATTTAAGTTCAGATTTCATTACAGTTCAAACTGTTTATTGAGAATCTGTAATATTTTCTTTGGGGTGACATTTTCATTATGCAAGCAAAAATTGCTTGAGTTTCATTAAAAGTACATAAGAATTTATTCCTTTGTGTTTTGTAGACGTCCTATTGAAGAGAGAGTTGTACATGCATTGGGGAAGGCTTGGCATGTAGAGGTAGGAATTTTTAAAATGATTTCAATGAAAATTATTTGAAAAAATTAATTTCCTCCTTCAGAACAACCCAGATATTTAAAACTTCAATAAACGAAGTTAAAACTGTTGCCAAAATCACCCAGTTTAGTCAGCTTTTGCTAAAGAATTGGAAGCATAATTTTTATGCCCCGCCATGAAAATGGCCGGGGCATATAGTGTTTGTCATGTCCGTCTTCCGTCCTTCCGTCTGTCCTTCCCTCACACTTTGCATTTAGCTCAGTTTCAAAGTAACTATCCAAGATATTTTCATCAAACTTCATAGGGTGATAAATATTGATGAGAGCTATGCAGTAGCTATGTAACTGCATCATCATTTTTTTACCTTAACCTTTCCTTTGACCTTGACCTCACTTTGTGAGTGTTAAATGAGTGTTTAGCTCAGTTTTAAAGATACCATTCAAGATATTTTTATCAAACTTCATATGTTAATACATACTGATGAGAGCTATTCAACTGCATCAACATTTGACCTTGACCTTTCCTTTGACCTTGACCTCACTTTTATCAAATTGTGATTAAGTCAGTTTTGAAGAAACCATGCATATTTTTTTCAACTTCATATGCTGATACATATTGATGAGAGCTTTTCAACTGCATCAACATTACTTTTACCTTTGACCTTGACCTCACTTTTCTTAAATTAGTATTAAACTTCATATGCTGATACATACTGATGTTAGCAATTCAACTGCATCACTTTTCAAGATATTCTGAAATTTCAAAAACAAATTCGAATTTCATGTTGCATTACTTATATACCCTCTACGGGGCATTCATGTCCTATGGACATATTTCTAGTTAAAATGTAAAATTTTAATTTATTAACATTTTCCCTCGGTAGATAAAGTACTAAATAAAAAGTTTCTTGATTTCAGCATTTTGTGTGTGCTAAATGTGAACGTCCATTTTTTGGAACTCGTCACTATGAAAAGAAGGGACTGGCCTACTGTGAAACTCATTACCATCAGGTTTGTTAAACTTTGGTTCTTGTATCTAATTTTCTTCTCTGATCATCCTCAAAACTGTAGGAATCATTATAGTAGGTACTCGGTTCTGATACTGAGTAATCATTTCATAAGTCAGATTTGCTGTACTGAACAGATTGATGATATTTAATTTAATTGATTGAGTGTTACCTGATGATTTCTTGAATGAAGTATTGAGGAAAACTGGTATCCTTTTTCAAATGTTACAGCAATTTTTTATGACAGCTTTTAAAGTATTTTGCCATCTATTATTGTTACAGATGTTCAGTGTATGTAAAATGTGCACCTCACAAAGGAAAATTTAACAAATTTTATTATCACTTTCCTTCATTGTTTTGGAAAAATTATCATGTACTCAGATACACTAACAAAATATATATCAAGCTACATTATCATTAGCTTTCAAAATAGATACAGCTAGAATGTACACAGTTAAGATTCATGTACTTGTACAAAAGAGCAGTACATACCAGCTTATTTATTAGAAAAAAGTATTCCAGATTTTTTTTTATTCAATTCAATTGAAAATTTATAGATTTTTGAGGCGCATCGTTTTCGATGCAGGCTCATTGCGATCACCTGGCAATTCTTTCTTATCTAAACTGCGACGGCAAAGGACTCAACAATGTTGATTCTTAACACATTATTAAAAATAATAATGTAAATTGACAAGTTGGCGAAATCCATTGTTAATATTAAACAACTAATAACATAAAATCTCACACATACATGTTGTATTTACTTTGAATCAACAGAGAATATGAAAAAGGAGAAAATAAACAATTAAAAACAAAGAGAGAAAACAACAACAAACGTGCACTGCGCAGAGTAAGATCAATTTGCATAACAACAGCTCGTACCATAAATTACTCGGTTCTGTATCAGGAAATATTAGTAATATTATTTTTAAAATAAATATCACTAGCAATTGAGACGTAGAAACAGAATCATTGTTTTGTTTTTTTGATAAATGAAGGGGATGTTACTATTTTTTTCACTCGAGTAAACGAATAGTAAGATATCCAACTGAATAAATTTCTGCAACAAGCGCCATCTTTCGGGAAAATATTTCCACGGAGTGACACAAAGAGTGAAGTGATAGGATTTTAGCGAAATGTCAGTTGAATATGATGATTGACTAATAAATAACTGCAGTTACTGTGACTTTCAATTTATAGGATTACTAATACCTCATAAACATACACTTTTTAAAGTTCAATCCATACCACTAAGGTTTCATAGCCAATTATATATCATCGAAAATATTGGAGGGAATCTCCCCCATTGACGGGTTCATAATAAACCGTATACCACACCCGATTGTTTATTTTAGTCCTGTATAATTTACTTGAACATTTCATGTATGTAAGATTTGTTATATATTGTGCCATTTATATTGGGGAAAGTTAAAAACTAAGTAGTGATATTTATAAAAGTGCACATAATGAAAGAAACTGAAATAATTCACATATGAAATTATGTAGAATTATTCAATAATCATTACCAGTTATTTCTATATTGTCATTCAATATTCCATCTTCCTACAAGTAAAGGAATAAAAATAAAAAAGAATTAAAATCAATTATGATTTAATTAAATATCAAAAATTATAACTGATACATCAGACTATATTAAAAAAAATGTTTTTCTTCTTCTGATCGATTGGCTAAAATTCAGAGCCATGTCTCAATTTTCTTTTAACCTCAGAGAAATGTTAGTTATTTTTTAAATTCTTATTCCTGGATTATTTCATTCCCTTAACATTGATGTTGAATTTCTCTAAGACAAAAAAAATGTTTTATACCCTCAATGCGATGCGCCTCTAAGGCCGTCAGGCCTTTGATTTATCTATATTTATTAATAAGATGTGAAAGAGAATATGAAATATTTTGATGGCATGAGAATTTGCTCTATGATGTGTATTTTTTTTTCCTTTCAGCTGTTTGGAAATATTTGCTTTGTTTGCAACAATGTAGTCACAGGAGTAAGTACAGACACAAGGGAAATAACTTCATCCTCCCCCTCTCTGGATTATAATTATGTTGTAAATCTGTACAGCTTATAGGACAGCAAAATAAATCTAAATTACTCCATTTATATGTTGCATTTTTTTTCAGTGTTTTTCTTCTGACTATACTAATACATATTGTTTTGATTTAAAATTTTATTGATAAGGTTCTCTTATGTTTTCCTTGATACAGTTTTTACATTCAGTATGATGAATTCTGATACGTTTTACAGTGTTTGGTGCCTTTAACAAGTCCTGGTGTGTAGGCCATTTTGCATGTTCTATCTGCGACAGAAAAATGAGTCACAAGTGAGTACATTTGTTATCTCAGTCATCTGTTATAGTGTACATGGTAGAATCTGAAGCCAACATGGTGCAATGGGCCAGGTGCCTATATCTGGTAATCAGACAGTAAAAGAAAGGAAGGAAAGTCAGTAACATTCATCATCTTTACTATTATGAGTATGCAAAACTTGCTTCCAATATAATAAAACAATCCTGTTTTTAGCTCACCTGAGCCGAACGCTCAAGTGAGCTTTTCTGATAAAAATTTGTCTGTTGTCTTTCGTTGTTGTCGTAGTCGTTGTTGTTGTCGTCGTAGTCTTCGTAAACTTTTCACATTTTCATCTTCTTCTCAAGAACCACTGGGCCAATTTTAACCAAACTTGGCATAAAGTATCCTTGGGTGAAGGGGATTCAAGTTTGTTCAAATGAAGGGCCACCCCTTTTCCAAGGGGAGATAATTATGAATTAGAGAAAAATTAATGGCATTTTAAAAAAATCTTCTTCTCAAGAACCACTGGGCCAGGAAAGATAAAACTCATGTGAAATCATCCTCAGTTAGTGTAGATTCAATTTTTTTTTAAATCATGACCCCCGGGGGTAGGATGGGGCCAAAATGGCCGATCAAAGTTTTACATAGGAATATATAGGAAAAATCTTTAAAAATCTTCTTCTCAAGAACCACTGGGCCAGGAAAGATGAAACTCATGTTTAATCATCCTCAGATAGTGTAGATTCAAGTTTGTTCAAATCATGACCCCTGGGGGTAGGGTGGGGCCAAAATGGTCGATCAAAGTTTTACATAGGAATATATAGGAAAATTCTTTAAAAATCTTATTCTCAAGAACAATTAAGACAGGAAAGATAAAACTCATGTGAAATTATCCTCAGGTAGTGTAGATTCAATTTTGTTCAAATCATGACCCCCGGGGGTAGGGTGGGGCCAAAATGGCCGTTCAAAGTTTTACATAGGAATATATAGGAAAAATCTTTAAAAATCTTCTTCTCAAGAACCACTGGGCCAGGAAAGATGAAACTCATGTTTAATCATCCTCAGGTAGTGTAGATTCAAGTTTGTTCAAATCATGACCCCCGGGGTAGGGTGGGGCCAAAATGGCCGATCAGAGTTTTACATAGGAATATATAGGAAAAATCTTTAAAAATCTTCTTCTCAAGAACCATTGAGACAGGAAAGATAAAACTCATGTGAAATCATTCTCAGGTAGTGTAGATTCAAATTTATTCAAATCATGACCCCTGGGGCTAGGATGGGGCCATAATGACCGTTAAAAGTTTTACATAGGAATTTATAGGAAAAATCTTTAAAAATCTTCTTCTCAAGAACCACTGGGCCAGGAAAGATGAAACTCATGTGGAATCATGTCAGGTAGTGTAGATTCAATTTTTTTTCAAATCATGACCCCCCGGGGGTAGGGTGGGGCCAAAATGGTCGATCAAAGTTTTTCATAAGAATATATAGGGAAATCTTTTAAAATCCCCTTCTCAAGTACTTCAAAGCCATGATTAGTGATATTTATATGAAATCATCCTCAGGTAGTGTAGATTCTAGTTTGTTTAAATCATGACCCCCTGGGGGTTAAGATTTAAGCCCCCCCCCCCCCTTCCAAACTCAGCAAACTTTCATTTCTGAGCTGATATTTGCTTTTTCCTAGCCGGTGTGCTCAGGTGAGAGCTGTGGCCCCTGGGCCTCTTGTTGTATTTAACATTTAAACTTTGTTTGAAAATTTTTAAAAATTAATACAGGACTTCAAAAAAATTAAATTATTTGCACTTGATGGTGTTGCATGGCATTCAGCATGTTCGACATTTAAATAAATACCATAACAACCTTTTGAACTTCCAATCTTTGTTTATGTTGTTTTGAATGCCAAAGTTTACCATACATTTAGCTATGTGTAAAATGTTAGTGTTGCCATGGTTACTAAAAATAGAAATTTCTCTGATATTCCTTGAAAACTTTTTTGGTACAATTTTAATCTGATTTCACTACAATACTACTTAAAATAGAAGTTTCTGTTCTAATCCTTCAAAGCATTACTCCTCCTAAAGTTTTGGTCCAGATACAATATTACTTGGCACACAAGTAGTGTACATTTAGATTCATAATTTAGTGCATGGTTTTTGAATTTGATGAACAATGTTGCCATTGTTACGTAAAATTAGTGTTGGCAAATTGGACGATTTTTAGTAACCGGTTACTCGCTCAATCTTTCGATCGAGTACCCGGTTACTCGGATGATTTATTCATATTCATATCTCATCCTTTACTCATCGGTAGTAATAAAACACAAAATATTTTGAATGCTTCAAGACACCCATGCACGCACTATCTTGAAAGAATTTTGATACGTGTATTTATAATTAAAAAATTAATTAAATCAGAAGAAAAAAAATATTCAATGTTTCACGCTATTTTACAATGGCATTCATCACCTTTTAATTTTTACTTTTCGACTCCCGATATAATTATGTCATGATCAAGGAGAATAATTATTTAGAAATTTGAAGTCACAACCGTACACAATAACTCCAATTCATTAAAGGTATCGAATCAGCTGTTCTTTTAAATACTTCCAAGCTATTAATATATGTCTTTGGCGGCATCTTGTTAAATTGTTTAATGAGGTAATTATAACTCAGGTCTTCAAAACTTGTACATGTATAACCTGCTGGAAATCAAAGCTAACAATTAACTGTGAAAACTAATCAAAACGAATCGATCGTATTAGTGAAACACTAAATCATTTAATCTTGCGATAAATAAAATTCGAGAAATGCTTATGTATACGCTTATAAACAAATTAATATTATTTTTTTTTTAGTTATTTACTTTATAAGATGTATTTTTATCCGAGTAACCGAATAGGAGTTTTACTAACCGATACTCGCATCGTTCGACGGTTTACCGGTTAACCGGGTACTCGTTGCCAACACTACTTAAAATGTAACTTTTTGATTTATTGCTTCAAAATATCACTTCTCTAACAGTTTTAATCATTATCTGATTGCAATTAATCTTGCAACAAAGCAACTAAACCATGGACCATTCTTTTTATTGCTGTTGCATAATTTTAAGTGCAAATGCTACTTTTCTTTTCCCCTGTTAAAAATACAAACAAGTAGTGCTACAGTCTAATCAGGGACTTCAGCTTGATTTTAAAATATTACACAGGAAAAATGAAAAAAAATATTTTGAAAGGTTTGTAAAACAAGTACATTGACATCTGACATTGAAAGTTCATTTTTATGGCTTACGAAGCCATTATAGCTCCCGGTGTATTTTTACGGCAAAGAGTTCACTGTGTATTCTAGTAGACATGAGCAAGATAAAATAGTCCTCGTCTTTTCTTTAATTTTATTCTACGTTTGTTGTGAAAATTACTCACCAAGTCCTTAATCAAAAACCTTGTTATTTTCATTTAATTTTCGCCACTGAAGACAAGATAAACCAAATAAAAAAAAAACTAAATTGAATAAACTCTTGTGAGGATGCGGAAGAATATCTTCTGACCGTATGTGTCAACAGCGCCACCGTGTAGGTAAGTCGGTAGACAGACCACTCGGCCCAACGACACCTCGGCCCGTGCTGGTTGACACCTCGGCCCTGACAGGTCGGCTCAAAATCATTGACACCTCGGCCCATACAGAAGACTGCTCGGCCCATTAGGAATAAAATTAAATTTAGTTTGTTTTAATTAGTTTTTTATTTCTTTATTTTTTTTACAATGCAACATTATACATTATTAATATATTTATTAGCCATTAAAAAAAAATGTCTGGTTGCCCTCTCCCGACTGACTGATGAATTTACTAATATTTATGTGTAAACAACACAGGTCTAAGCAGAAGTTTATGTCCTGGTCCACAAGATTTATTGATTTGTTAAATATTTTTTATCTATATATTTTAATGATTAATTTTAAGATCTCATATTTTTTCAAATCAATTCAATAATATCAACAATGGTTTCTTCAAGGAACTTTTCATTAAAATTAACTCCCAATTATGGCTTCTCGTAATTAACTCCTCATAGTCACCACCCCCTATGACACGCGCTCGAGACTCTCAATGGTGCACTGCGTCTTCTTGTTTGTTTAATGACTAGCACTTATAATCAAGTTACTAATGGATCGTCTTTCTTTTATTACCGTCAATTTGCTGTCTTGGAAGATTGCAAATGTATCAAATTAATTTTCTTTTGCATCTCATAGATAGATATATAACAACATAAATAATAAATATATTTGATTAAAATAATATATTTCTGTTTGGACCGAGGTGTCTTTTATGTGAGCCGAGGTGTCTGCAAATTTGGGCCGAGCCGTAGGAGCCGAGATGTCAATGGGCCGAGGTGTCGTTGGGCCGAGCAGTCTGACATTCGGTGAAAGAAAGAGAACTCTGTTGGGAGTACGTTATTGCGCCAGATAGTTCGTAGGAACACAGATTAAATGTATTTTACCTTACAAACTGTTTAAACAGCTGCTAAAAGCAGTGATTTCCTAAGGCCGTTTTTGCCTGGCAATAACGCGATCATGATCTCCCGCCAACTCAATGTTGTAAACTCAATGCATATCGTGGCACGGGGTATGATGCAATAGCCTAACTGCCAATTTTTGTTCATTGCAATTTAATCACTGGCATATATTACTAAATATCAAGCTTGTAGTTGATGAAAATATTAATTAATAACCATAAAATGTAACTGATGGCTGTCAGATAGTACGAACGGTAAAAGGAATACACTTAATTGTTAATGTACATGTGGGGTTTTCCAACATTCGCAGGTCATTCTATAAATAACATAGATGCTCCGACATTAAAAAAAAAAATCATCATTTAAACACATAATTTTTGCATTCATGTACTGAAAATGAAACGTGTGATTAACATTATCAATGTTTCTGAATTTACTTTATGAACTCTGGAAAGCACTTAGTTCCAACGCATGTGCTTCTAATACACTATTCAGAAGTGCTCCAAGTGACAATATCTACATGCAGTAAGCATTATACATTGGTGCTACATAATGAGAACAAAAAGTTTCAAGATAACTGCAAGAGTAGATACATAAAAAAATAAGGGAGGGTCATTAGGGGCCTATTTGTAGATAGCAAAATTAGCACAATACCGTAACATAAAACCACAGGCACCTGACGTTATTTATTTTTCTTTTAATAAAAAAAACAGTAAAAAGACAATGGCTTTATAGAAAATTTTAATAGAACAATTTTTCGTGATTAGATCTCTTTTATATGAAAAACTCTATTGTTGAATAATTTGAAGCAAAAACTGACAATTTGTTCAAAATCTATATATTTAGCTTTTATTTACCTGTAAAAAAGGGTATTAGTGAATTTGTATTTTTCATTTAAATATGAATTTAGAAAAAATAAACTCAACTGCCAAGAAACGCCTCAGGCCGTCAATTCAGCGACCCCCCACCCTTGCAGTAAGAAATTTCTGAGGAAACACTAAGTAATAATCTAGTATACTACATTTCCTTACATTTTACATCCATGTCAAGCACGTAAGCCATTATGGCCCTTCAGGCCTTTGATTTTTAAAAATTGCTTTTATTAACTCAAAGATAAAAAATTTCTGGGATTTTTTTTTTCTGAAAGGTTTCTTTCCTTTTTTTGTAGAACCAAGTTCTTTGAATTTGATCTGAAGCCTGTGTGCCGTGTATGTCATGAAAAGTTTCCTGGGGAACTTAAGAAACGACTGAAGAAATACCACGAAGAGGTCTCCAAGAAGCAGATCATGGCCAATAGCTAGATATTTATTTAATTAATTGTGGAATAAAAGTCAGCATTATCAGAGAATGACTAGAAAAACAGAGTAAAGCAGAGTGGAGGAATTATAAACGGGAGATGTTAAAGGAGAGATGTGTAGATTAATGAAAAAAAGAAAACAGATTTTTCTTTTCTTAATTTTGAATTCGACCTATTTCCGTCAAAATTTTTTATCAAATTTTTTTTCTAGTATAAAGGGAAACAAGATTACTTGTAATGTACCTGTAGAACTAAGTAAAACAACAATGTTTTGTCCATTTGATTTCAAGTTGATGTTAAATTTAAAGATATGCTGGAAGAACTTTTTAAAGATGAAATATGTTTGACTGCTGTTTTTATACTCAATTTTGCTTTTTCATTTATAGCAATAATTAAAATGAATGAAAAATATTTAGCTTATTAGAAACTTTGAAAAACCATCGTAATAGGAAAACGGTGAACAGGAAAAGTGCCATTAGAGTCTCTGAAATTAGCTGTTTTAAACATTTATAGTGTGAGTATATTTTTTTGAATGTTGCACAATAAACATGTAAATTCATTATTAGGAAAAAGTTTTTCAGAAAAACACCTATTGGACAGGAAATTCACAGATAGATATAATTTGTTAAAAATTTTTGTGGAATTGTTTCATATAAATACAGCTGCTGTAAATCAAAGAAAGTTAAATGGTCAGTCTTTTAACTCTGTGGTAGATTTCCTGTTACATGGTTTGGCTGGTTTTTGCATGACTTAGTGGCTTACAGGGTTTAGTTTGTGCATTGTTATGTTAATGTATACCACAATTCATTACGGTGATGTTTTTGTATTTTTTTTTTCTCGGTAAATTGTTTTGTTGACAACAAAATGACTCAGTGGATTAAAGAAACATTTTACTGGAATACAATGAAATGCTGTAGATTTCTAAATATATGCGTGGAATTAATTATCGCTTAATTTCGCAAGAAGGACCACACGCCAAATAAAATTACTCGCCTTTATTTTTATCATGCTGAAATCTCTAAAAAATATCTTGATCAATCGACCATTCGCGAATTATTATTCTCGCTGTTTGACGTTGAATAGCCTATTCGCAATAATAAGTACTCGCAAATAATAAGGAATCTACAGTAGGAAATATAGTAAATTAGAAATCTTTCCTTGTAGTTGTTACTGAGATCAAGTTTGATATCTTATGATCTGCTTTGACAATCTTCAGTTGTTAATGATATCTAAAGATTAATTTAAAATATATTTTCATGTAAGGAAATCTGGAATATAAATGTGTTGATCTCTTTTAATATTAAATTTTGTCATGTGCTTTACATAGACCATTTTTTGCAATAGTTTTATGAATTTGATTCTGAGTTAATGATACCATTATTTGTGCTTCCATGTTAAAAAGATTTGTCATTGCTTTTTCAAAAAGAACTCCAAATTGCATTTTGTATTTAAATATTATTAGATTTTGAGCTTATTACAAAGAGAGACAACTCTGTCACATTTATACATTTTTATGAGTTGTATATCATTTTCTCAGAAAACTGCTGGTCTTTAAAACCTTTTATTTAGTTTGCTTACCTGTTTACTTTTAGATGTATTTTTATTACCATAATAATAGCTTCTATGCATGATTAATGTCTGTGATTGTGTAAATAGTGATTTATAATGTTTGTGTATATATGTGTATGAATGTCTATTTATGAAATATACTTGATAGACTTATTCCCAGATCTTGTTGTTTTTAAAAAAAAGAATCAAAGATATAGAAATAACATGCAGGTGAATTTACCTTTTTAGCTCTCCTGGGCCAAAGGCTCAAAGATGTTCTGTAATGCTATGGCCATTAGTGCAGTGTCAACTTTTTGGAATGTGGGCCTTATCTGGGAACCCTTTAGCCAAGTTTTGTAAAAATTTCTTACAGTATCCTTGGCTCAATGTACATATAGCTACAGATCTGTGGCTTCTTGGTCAAAAAACATTGGGATGGATGATCAGAGATCTAGAGAGGTTACCATTGAAAACATGTTTATTTACTTCACATAAAAAAAATCCTGTATCAAAGGACTTCCGGTGCCTGAGAATTGAGAATATGAAAAATTTTACCTGTTCTACTATTTTGGGTGGCAAGACAACTCTGTCCAGCATACTTTATACAGTTTTTTTCTCAGGTTTGCACTGTAAATTATCTATCAATATTTTAAGCTCACGTGAGCCAAAAGTCGAGGTTGCTTAAAAATTTTACATACATATTCGTACTCGCATATAAGTATGGTGATATTTGTTATAGGCAACACTCTAGGGAAAAAGACATGTCTCAAGGACTGTTCAAAGTGGAGATAAAAAGACATCTTGTTACATTTTAATACTGTGCCCAACTGTCAGAATCTTAATAGTCCATTGATACATTATAACAACCGGATATGTCGACCCAAAAGTAGGTCACTGGACCCCTTTTATATTTTGCATCTATTCATTTTTAAGTTGTTTTAATGCATATCTTGAGCAATCCTCTAACTCTGTCAGCTGATGCATTTTGGCGTCTGACATTAATTAAAAGGTCACATGACTTAAGTTGTAAGGCTAATCATTTCATTCCATTGCACATGTCCACTCACTGATTCAGTTCATTTGGAAATAGATTAATGATTTGAAGAAAAAATATGTGTACAAGCGTTAATTTTACCCATTCGATCTCGAAATATTTTCATAGTATGTTTGGTAACTATCTCGCACTGTTTCAAAGTACAGAAACATGCACTTTCAAATATGTTTAAAATGCTATTTAAAAAAAAAAACCTTCTAAAAATTCAACCTTCTGCCCCACTGGTTCTTGAGAATTTTAAAACTTTAGTAAGACCCTTGCCCATATTTGCAGTCTTTCCTGGCCCTTAATTCCCCTTGTAACCCCCTTCCCTTTTATGAGTTGAGTAATAGGTCAAAAGTCAAGGTCAAATGGACCGGAATTACAGTGTTTGGTATCTCTTCATGTTTTAAAAACAAACAATTTACATGCTAAATAGCATAGACTTACCTCTAAAATGTCAAAAATAAGCTGTATATTGGCACCACCGGGGTATGACCTGCTTTAAAAAGAATATTAATAGGTCAAATGTCAAGGTCAAATGGACTGGAATTACAGTGTTCGGTATTTCTTCATGTTTTAAAAACAAACAATTTACATGCTAAATAGCATAGACTTGCCTCTAAAATGTCAAAAATAAGCTGCAAATTGGCACTACCGGGGTATGACCTGCTTAGAAAAGAATATTAATAGGTCAAATGTCAAGGTCAAATGGACTGGAATTACAGTGTTCGGTATTTCTTCATGCTTTCAAAACAAACAATTTACATGCTAAATAGCATAGACTTACCTCTAAAATGTCAAAAATAAGCTGCATATTGGCACCTCCGGGGTATGACCTGTTTTGAAAAGTAGATAAAAGGTCAAGTTCAAGGGTAAGGAGGTCAGTTACCCTGGTATTTTACAAAATCCCTTGTGTCAAGGTGCAAAATCTTAAATGTCTCCAGATATAAGGTGTGACAGACAGATACACACACAGACAGACGGTGAATAAAGTGATCACTAACTTCGGAGTATCTCTTCATTCTGTGAAAACAATGTTCGTTATTAATCTTGCGGGTTTTCATTTTCAAAATGTTTTAGTGCATATTTGGACACTGAAGCATATAGAATCATCAAATCTTTTCAATTGGTGTATCTTAATTAAATTAGCATTAATGCACTTCATTATGATACAGTTCATTTCAAATTGGAGATTTATAAAAAACAAAAATAAACTAAAACTTTAAAAGACCTCCAAATGAAACCATTGCGACAGAATTCTGAAACCTAATGAACGATATGAAAGATGTTTTGTTAGTTTATTTCACCTCAAAAATTGAAATTACTCCAACTAAGATAAATTCAAAATTATAACACGATATCCACATTAAAAACTATTTAATTTGCTTATTCAAGCTCTCTTGTCCTATGTAAAATGCCTTTTATAAGATTATCTGATTTCACTTCGGAGTACATTGTACTTGTTTTCAACCACAACACATTGTCCTTGTGCCTCCCTGATCGAGTCCTTCGTATTGACCTTCCTATGATACTATGTAAATGTTGGTCCTGCTTTTTACTTCCCGAAAAAAAGAACCTATTTACTTCGTTCTATTTTGAAGGTCAGCACAAAATAAATATTGCTATCAGCATTGTTTCATTACTTTAAACAGCACACATATATTATGGTCTTGACACCTAGTTTATCATTGTGAATGTATATATATCCACCTACGAATTTTCAAGAGTTCAAGGACAATCATTGTATTTTTTTCCTTCATAAAATATGTAGAAATAAGGATATTAAAGCTCGGACAAGCATATATGCACTGTTCAAAGTCTTGCCTGATTGAGAATTTTTTCGCAACATTTGTTCAGATCTGTTATTTTCTTCTGATAAAGCAATGTGTAGGTTGTATACCCTCCCCCTCAACTGTATATATGTAGTATGACAAGATATAATACCTGCCTTCATTGGATGGTTGACTCTCTGACGTAGATATAAGTAACAAAAAACGCTGTTTAAATTCAGAAAAACAACTTTTGATTGCATCAGAAATTCCCTCCCTTCTGATAGATGATGCAATGAAATCTTCACAGGTTTTGTTGTCATATCATATGAGTCACTCAGGTAAACTATTGCTAAATGGAACCGCAGAACCCATTTAACCCAATTTCGAGTACTGTGCATCATTGGGCGAATGGGTACAAATTTATGAATTTTTGGTTTCTCCCCCTCTCTGGGGCCTGGGGGCGAGGCTAAAGCCATCAAAAGTAATACATTCTTCAATAATTTTCTTCTTTACTAGGCTTAACCATCAAGCAGTCAAACTGTTGGTATGACTGCATGTGAATGCATTAATTGTGTCCTCTACCGAAATTGTAACTACAGAACTGTAGCTCTCGGAAAAAATATACTGGGAGTATTGACAGACCCGTCTCTCAATGTATATTTTTTCGGAGAGCTACATGCAGTTCTGCTGCTACCAAAATTGTGAAATCCATGGCCAAGTTGTAATGAATTCTGGTGTTAGAGTTAGGGCTCTTTAGATCATATTGGGAAAATTCGTTAATTCTTTAAAAATCTTCTCTCCCTGTATTGTTAACAAACATACTAAACGTATTGTTACAATGAACAACGGTTCCTCTGTCAAAACTGTGAAATTCATAACCATGGATGAGGAGTGAATCTTGTTCTAGAGAGGGTGGGGGGAGGTCTGTGAAAATGTGTAACTTTGAAACACTCCTTCTGCTCTCCTATGTATTTATCAGCAGACACTTGACAGACAGGGTAGTTGGCTATAAGGGCCTGGTACCACTTTCAAAATTGGGGATTCTTGACCCTCTGTTAGGGCGAGGCTCTATTGATCAAAAAAGTGAAATAGCAATAATTTAAGTGCCCCTCTCCAGACAAAAAAAGCGAACAAAGTACATATAGTTATGATAAAAAGGGATGTCTTTTCCAAAATTGCAAAATTCGCTGCGTCTGGGTCAGAGATTCGATTACGCTAATTTATCAGTGTAAATAATGTATAAATTGACAGGTCAGTTGCAGAAAAGAATATTATGCAAGAGTTTTTAAGTACTTTAACGTTTTGCTAAACCTGTATATATGAATAAGCTATAAAATAACGAAACAAAAATGCCCCTCTAATCAGTACTTGCTCAAAGATCGAGAGATGGAAAATACGGCCTCTTGTTTACATGTGGTTTCTTATTTATCAAGATAAGTGACAAACTTTAATTTATAACGTTACCTAACAGGAGTGTCTTACTGAGAAATATCCTTGTTATGGCTGAATGAAAATGAATCATGACCATTAATACTCCTAGTGAAACTGAGAGGATCCACAGTCACGAAGTCTATATATATATACTATTTAGGATGTTTCTATATAAATACATAAATGTAACTTTAAAATTGATAAATGAAACTATTCTGATGGGGCAGTCTGTATTTATAACTAGTATAACTAGTGAATTAATTGTGATTCATTAGGAGAGACTAGTTCAATGATTAAAATTCAACTATCTCTAAAACAGTCTATTTTGAAATCGTATAGAAAAGACATTAACTTTCTTATCAGGTGCTTTGAACATGTTGAGAGAATATGCAGAAGACGTGGTTTGTACGACATGCGAAAATTCCGAGGAAATACTCCATTGGTACGATGTAACATTTTCTTACATAAGAACACTGCTCTTCATCTTTATATCCTTGTTAACTGATTACTACAGACACTGAATCTGTATAATGTATGACTTATAGTTATATAGTAGATAGCATGATTGTAAGCTCTTTGTGTTTAATTTGTGAATTTACCGGTATGACTATATGCATTTTATATATACATCTTTATAATTCGTGCTGAGAAACTGGGAATTCAGTTTTTGTCGGACGAGACTCGATATGTGATCCCAAAATGACACATTTAAAAGGGGATTCCTATATCTGTACATTAAGATTTTTGTTGTCTTCATTTACATGTTGAGTGAAAATTAAATGTCAAGTTTATTGCATCAGAAGTGCATGAAACACACTTTGTAATTGCTCTTGCGAAGTCAGCACAAATATATATAATTTGAACAAAAAAATCCTGACCTTAATATTCATCAAGCCATGTTATCAGTATCATTGCACACACCTAACACGCATACAAAAGTTACAAACCTCATTTTAAATTCAAACTTCAAGCACATTACATAATTATCACACACAACATGCAGAAGTAAGTCTACAGTAACGATGACCTTGGCCTATCGATCTAGCTTTGAATTCCGATTGGTTACCCAGTTCATTGACCGGGGTCTAGTCTAGTTCAAGTTTAGGTCACTTATTATAAAATCTTCGAATCCTTGAAAGCAAGGCTATGTAGGCTGAAAAATAAATCTATCTCAAGGTTGCTTTATTTTTGCAGTCGCGGCTAACAATTAGCGCTCTAAACCTTAAAAAAAACGTCCGATAATCTTTTTTGCATCTGATCAAGACTACGTTAATAAAAGCATCGTGGTGCAAATTGTGTTTTTATAACTTTCTTAATAGCTGTCTGTAACGTTGGGCCAACATATTGATGCTGACTTGGCTTGATTATTGGCATTTTCTTGTTCTGCATGCGCTTTAATACATGTACCGTCTGTTTGTCCTTCAACCTAACAAGAAATACTGATTCGTTTTCAGTTTAAGATGATTTGTGATTTTTTAAAAGGTCCCTTTTGACGGAGTTCTTCAGGAGATAAGAAAGAATTTCGTTGAAATTTTCATGGAAATAATCAGACAATAAAGGATCAACAAACTAAGAACACCGATGCTGTATATACTAGTATATATATATTTTCTATCTTGATCAGATATGCACAATGTCTGTATTCATAGTTATAAATAAAAAAAAAACAAATGCATTGTTTAATGAATAAGAAACTCGTAAAATACCTTAATTGTTCCTCGCCATGAGCCCGTCTTCGTACATATATGACTAATTTCTTGTCGAACTGACCCATTGAATTTACAATATTATTAATAGTGACATCATCACACTTTATGACCAAATCCTGGAGAAGTTAGGGGGGTATGGTAGGGGCGTTACCACAGGAAACTTTTTCTTGTAGATGGGGTTGAATATAGGACAAGTAGACACTTACCCTATTGAATTTACAAATAAATTTTAATCATCATAGTTTTTTAATAATTATTATACTATGGGTTAAAAAATTACTTCCGAAAGAAGTGTCTGTGCTAGTAGAATGTGATGAGAGCTTTATATAGATAGGATGGGAATGTTTCGGAAACAAGACTGTTGTTCGAGGGATGAAAATTCGCCAAAAATAAATGTTCCTTAATTGCCGAGAGATCGGGTGGGGGTTAACGATCCCGATGGAATGCTTTCAAATACTAGTAATAATATGGATCAAAACTAAGAAATGAGTTTTCGGTTCTGGTAGCTGTCAATGACAAGGAAATACGCTTAAATTGGTAAATCCAACCTTTTAAGTTTAATAGCAGTATTATGGGTTTTTTTTTTAACAATTCATTATTCGAAAGAAGAATCATTTAATTTTTAAAAAAATTATAGTCGGGTAATTTATTAGTTTTGATAATGTATCTACAGTTTTCTTCAAATTGAAGAAATTTTACCTTTTATATCTAAATTTCCCTTTTAAAAGTACAAAAATCGCAAAATAACAAACACCTTAATTACCACACCGTTGCACCTGTATTTAAAATTAATAGCGTGTTGAATTCGTGGGATTGTTTAACACGTGGTGATGTTTACGCCTGATAGATATAAATATCACTCGAGCAACTTATGATTAAATGGACCAATCGGTGAAGAGCTTCGTGACCCGACCTTGGTTACTAATACATAAAATAATATAGCCAGCAAAGAGCTAGTTCAATACGTGTGATTATTGCAGGATGTAACCAGTGTATTATATTTATAACTATCTATCTACACGAGTTAGACTCTTTTATATGCTGCTGTGTTTGTTTTGAGACGAGCAGAGGAGGTATTTTGCAGTGTTCAAATTCAGGAAGTGGATGAGAACAGTTCACGCCCAAAAGAAATATTTCAAGCAAAGCTGGTTGTGATTCTACTTTTCATTGCAACAGAATGATGTCGGAGAGGCAAATGTCGAACAGCTCTGGGGAACAGAGACAGAACCCATCTCTTCTAACTGTACTCAATAAATTTGTACAAGCTGTGAACGTTATGGACGAAACAGTTATGATTCCAAGTCGCCTGAAAGACATGGAAATAAGAACTTCTGAAACAAATGCGGAAATCGTAGAGGAAAATAACAATATGTCGCTGGTGCCAATCATGAAACCAGGCACAGACTTACATAGTTTCTATAAGATGCTGAATACAGTTAAAAAAGAAATCATCGGAGGAAAATCCGGAGAAGAGGAACAGACAGTGACGTCATCGGATTCTGAGGACGATACAGCAAATGACTCTTCTAAGAAGACGGCAGAATTGTTCCGTCATCATTTACGGGGACTTTTTAACGTCGTGAATCAGTTGACAGATACAGCTAAAGTACTCACTGAAAAATATGAGTCGGAATTCGTTGGGGAGGTGTCCAATAAATCGATTTCGCCTTTCGCTATTTGATAGCTGACTGCTGAAGCTATGTTTAGGGTAAACCAGTGCTGTTTGTGTGAGTGTTTTGTATGATTATTCATGTATGATGTAGCCTTTTTTAAAAGAGATGAAGCGAATTACCAGCAACATTCGTCCAAGTGCAATGAAATGTGGACAATAAACTAGAAACGTCATAGGAAAACCACTAACTGTGCCTTAATTTCAGTGTTGATGATCGTTTTTGCATGTACATGTATATTCTTAATTTATGTGTTTTTTCAGTTTTAAATTTTTTTTTTGCAAACATGACAATTTGCAAAATATGCATGTGTTCATGGTGTTCTATTACAAAATTCTTTTTTTTTTCCAGTAAAAAAAATTTCTTAGTGTGCCTGTTTTCTTATTTGTGTTTTAGAGTTGGTAAAACATTTTGTGTTCTGACATTTCATGTCATTTCCCTAATGGGTCGCAAGTTCACCATAATTCCTGGATTCCATGGTAAAGGCAAAATATTGTGGTGCTTATCTACATGAAAATTAAAGGTCTGCCTACTACTTCTTTTGAAGGGCATTTAACATATTGATTTGTTTGGACAAATATTTGACTGTTAAGTTTTATTTCGAAATGTTACGTAACAAAGCTTATCCAGTCTTAAGAAAAATATGGAAATTTGTAGTTTATAATGTAAAAAAGGGTTTAAATCTGATTATCCCTGACCAGGCTGAATACACTGTTCATGGATGGATACCCGTTGTCAAGTAAAAAGGATTTGGAAAGAGAAATTGTCCAAGAATTTAGACAATACATGTAAATTGACACATATTTCGTGCTGAATTATTGAATAACAATATCAACCTTATCAGGATTTTCTATATGTACATGTATGTACACGGATGTGTGGTGAAATTATACAAAATTATAAGGCAAGTTTGGATTCCCAATGCATGCGACAAGGCTTTGACACCAGTAAGCCTTTAGTTTGTTTAGAATCTTCTGTCCTATCCAGCTGATTTGCGTTGAGAGAATTGTCTTATTCAGCTGATTTGTGTATAGAGCTTACATGTACATCCCTTTACATGGTTAAGGAAGGAGACGAGCCTTTGGGGGTGTTATCTGGTGGTGCTCTTCAATCATGTTTATTTTGACGTATCCTGGTCTCACTCCTAGGTTGTCTATCTTGTATATTTAATTAACCTGGCCAGGTACATATCGCCCCCGATCTCACTGGCCTTCACCCCCAGCTACCATCTCTCTCTCTCTCTCTCTCTCTCTCTCTCATTTTGTTCATAAAATTCATCTAACTTTGTTCATAAAATTTCAAACATAAACTTTTTATGATTGCTTTATTTTACAGTCGATAATTTGATAAGTTTATTTACTCTTGGGAGTGTATTCGAGCGATACACATAAATATACCATTTAAAAACATGAAAAAAAAATTCAGCTATACCTTAAAAAAAAGTATATTGAAGCCAAAGTCGTTGAAATTTTAAATTTTCATACAAATTATTTATCTATACATGCACGTAGTTAGAAATCGACAAGTATATGTTTACCACCCGTGTGGAATGCCAGGGAAACATATAATTATGTTAATTTGACTACGAAGATAAAAAGACAATTGCTAGTAGTACTTTTGGTTTTTGAATTCGGATCTATTGCAGTTTGTTTTAAAATTACTTTTTCGTTATTACAGATCAAAACAATATCGTTGTGTTGGGATGCTGAAGGAGATACATAAGGATGCTTGTATCTGTAACACAATTTCCTATGTAACATGTAACATGTAATTGTAAGGGGAAACAAAACGATTTAAGGACTGTATAAAAGAAAGTCGTCTTTTCAAAGGGGGGGGGGGGGTTCAGAGTCAGTTAATTATAATGGGAGAGGATATCATTAGAGACTACATTGATGCGATTATTTGAAGTTTTGCAATGAGTTTATTTTTTTCTGTGAAGTTCGAGCTGGGAAGCTGCCGAGCTGTATTGAGATTTACTAAATGATTAACTGTTTTCCCTTAATTCCTTTCCGAATTATTACAGACTGAGAGTCATTTATCGTGCAAGGTCATGGCTTTATTGTTTTTTTTTACTTTTTTAATATATTCTTCAAAAACTATCCATCCTTAAAAACACAAATAACACTCCGAAGACACATCGGTGTAGCTAGTCTGTCAATCTTCTTCATGTTGAAGAAGCACTGTGAAGTGTTTTCTTGTAATATGTAAATTTAATTTATTGCAGATAATTATGTTAATGACAACACGTTTGTCAGTTGTGAATATGTTTATCCTGCCTTTCACTTCAGTTTCCGACGAGTGACAGGAAACGGGATTTAGTGCAGACAAGTGCTGAAGTCGGATGAGCAGGGATCGAACGAGATTCATATCAAAATGACTCAATAAGAAAACATGTCACATGTAAATTACAAAATAAAAAAAAAATTATATGAAAACATGGTCAGAATGAAAACTTTTATATCATAGGGGGTGATTGATTGATTGTATGTTGTTTAACGTCCCTCACGAGAATTTTCCACTCATGTGGAGACGCCACCATTTGGCGGTGAAGAGCTGCAAATAGCTCACGACTCTAACCACTAAGTCACACGGGCGACTATTACAGGGAGGATGGCGATATCTCAAATGTTCACATGTGATACAATTAAGGGATTTCATGTTTTCTTCGTTTAATCGATTCGTTTCTTGGAATTTATTTTATACTTATTGTACTTTTGAATGAAATTGTTTCACATAAGTTTAGCAGTGTATCAGTTCATTTTCGTTTTTTTTTTTTGGTAATCTGAGGGATGCAAAAGGATCGGGCTCTGTTGCAATCACTTTTCACTACTTAAAAAAAATGATTTTCAGTAAGTGGTTGAGAAAGGCCAATATTACGTTTCAAATCTTTTGCAAAAAAAAAAAAAAAAAAAAAAAACGCCCACTATAGTGAAAAAAAATTGTCAGTAGTGGGCGTTATAATTTTAATAATGGTTGCAACAGGGCTCTATAGATGTAAGAACTGATACGACGTTCCCCATGAAACAAACTTTAACAAAAGAAGTTCTGTATTGCGTATGGATTTACTTGTATTCTGCTCGACCTCTTTACATTTTCCTTTCAATATAGAAGTTATAGTAGTGCCTAAAAGAAACAATTACTCCTGGTATGTGTAGATTGCGGTTTTCGGTTGTTCTGGAGGAAAAAGGGGGACATAAAGGGGGGTAAAGTGCGCGTCCAGATAGTGAAGCAGGTCAATATTTTAACTGACACACGGTCACATTATTCCAGGTCGTGTACAGACCTTTCCCACATATACATGTAATATCACATAACTACGCAGTACTATTCAATATAAGTCTAACTTCGGGTTCAGAGTAACTGGTTCATGAACCTGATTACGCCTAAAGTTATCTAAATGTTATCAAAAATCATATACAAAAAAATTATTATCTGAAAATATAGAGCAGCATGCAAACTTCATTTGATAAAATACATGTATATATGTCAATTTTAGATAATACGATTACACAATCAGGGCCTGACTCATCTCGAAATTCCACATCTAAAAATTCTTACAACAAACTATCGATTCCCACTACCGTAACGTAACAGAATCCCGATGTCACTTTAACTAAAATTTTAAGTTAATAATTTTCAACTTAAGTATCCGCTGAATATTACCTTCTTTATGTCATAAAAAAACTTTCATATCGTTTTTCAGTCAGTAAACAACGCGAAGGATATATTTTTTAAATTTTTTACTTTATCTGTTTTTATTTATAAAGCTAAATTTAAACACCATGTACAATGAGTTCATCTCTTTTTAAAATGAGCATTTAAACCAAGAGAGATAACTCTTAAATATTACTATAAACATTTTAGTAAAATTTATTACCGAATCAAGTGCTTGTGATTGCAAAGCCTACCCGTGACACGATCGGGACCTCAATTTTTAAGGTCTCATTCGAAAACCAGTGACTTTCAAAGTCCTATATGTGGCAAACGTCTCAAGTTGGAACCGGAAACGAGAATCAAGGTCGAATCTCCCGATACTTTTTTTATTTTTTCAAATGCGTATTTCTTCATTTCCAGAGGGGCTTGTCTTCCAGATTGTTAAATGTAAAATAAATTAATAAAATTTTGAATTTACTTTAAATACACTTAGGTATATTTAACGTAGATTCAAAATTTCATTAATTCATTCTACATTTAATAATCGGGAAGACAAGGCCCTTTGTTTTCAATAACAGAAAAAGAATTGCACCCAGGTACAACTGAATTGTACCTATCTTTGATTCTTTTGTGGAAATGTTTCATGTGTACCTATCTTCAAATCAACAGTACGTATCTTCAAAAGAATTGGAAGATAGGTATAATTCATTTGAACCCATCTTCATTTGTATTGAAGATGGGTATAAATCAATTAAAATATAGGTGTAATTTATTTGAACCTAAGTTTAATTGTTCAGATAAAGGTATAATTATTTACACCTATATTTGATTCATTTATACCTATCTTTAATTCAATTGTACGACCTATTTTTAATTCATTTGAAGATAGGTATTATTATTTAAGGTAGGTACAATTATTTGAAGATAGGTTCAAATATTTGAATATATGTTAATTTGGCATTCCATAACAATTTATATTTCTTTCTTGTTTCCTCCATCTAATTTGAGTGGCATTGAATACAAACATGACAACTTCTAAATTTTGTATTTACTGCCACCTGGCAAATTAAAAATTTTAACATGACATTAGAACCTAACCCGCTTTTTCCTCCAATCAGCAGCTGCTAAATTTTCTATTAAGTTGATCACTTAATTGTTAAGATTTTCTGTCTATGCAGTAACTCTGCAGGCTGACTAATTAGCCAATGAAAAAGCGCGATTAGGTTCTAAGTAAGTTAGATCATATTAAGTAAAATTTTAGTGGTTAAGAAGGGGGCTCGGTCGCTTCACTCCCTCCGCCCCTTCTTAACAACTAAAATTTTACTTAAGGGGGGACCTATGTCCGAAAAGTCTTTGTGTGAAATTTTCAAAACTTTGACATTTCCTTCCTGGCCACTTGCTCTTAATTTTTTGGTATTAAAAACAATACCTCTATATGCTCATTTTTACACAGGATCACGTGCAAAAACAGTGTGAAATGCTAAAAATAGATTATTTTCAGACATTATTGTTCTACTCCAAATATGCGCTAAAAAGAACCAAAAATGTCAAATCACATTCGAAATCAACAGGTATTTAATTTATATGACTTAAATCTTTAAAATGAAGGCAATTTCATTGCAATTCATTGCGCATGAAAAATTATAAATGAGCACAATGTAAGTATCACCCCGTTTTTCTTGTCGTATTTTTTACAATTCCGACATGCA